GCCTCCTCTTGACACCAGTAGACCATCTTCATGAGGAGACGAAGATCCTTCCCGTACGTCAGTATAGCAATATGCTTTCATTGCAGTACCTGCTCGGGTGTTTCAGGGACGATCATCCCAACCATCATATGGTGGATAGGACTCCCCCAACCAGGGGTGTCAGGAAGGATCTGCATGATCTAGAGAGGGAGGTCCAACGATACAAAAGGGAGCCTCTAGATCATGTTGCCTATCGAGCAGGTCTGAATGGCATTCACACAGATGCAGTAGCCGCAGCGCTGAACGGTTACAAAGTGAATGCCGTCCTCTGAGCTCACTCCCCACCCATAGCAGCTGAAGAACGTCAGCTGCTCAGACAAACCAGAGTAGATTTGGCCTAGTTACGTTCTGGATGGTGCAGTCGGCTCAATTCGTATTGGGCACGGATTGATGAGCAGGTGCAGGATGTCTGCCCAGCATGTGGTACAGGCCCTCATACCACACTGCACCTTTTCAATTGCCCAGCCAAATCTACTCACCTCACTTCGGAAGATCTGTGGTTACACCCAGTGGAGGTAGCTGCATTTCTAAATCTGGAGACAGAAGTGGAGGAAATTTAAACACGAAAATATACAATTCATATAAACTGCTACAACAACAACAGGATGCTGTGGTTCCAATCAATGGACATGTTTTCCTCTAGCTAAATTGTACTACTCAGCTGTTGCATGCTCCTTACCAGCATCAGACCACAAGTCTGGAATAGTTCGGCTTGTAAACTATCGCCACCTGCTGCTTTATTATTCTTCAGCCGATAGATTGCTATTCTGGCTTCATCTTGGCTAGGTGTTATACACTCTATACCGTCATCTATTATTGATTCTGGGGTATCCTCTTCATCGCTACTATTTGATACCAGAAGTTTTTCAAAATGCTCCTTCCAGATCAACAGCACGCTGTCTGTATCTGTCACCAGGTTTCCTTCTTCATCTCTACAGGAGGATGTGCCTGCACCAAAGCATTCGGTTTGGTGTTTTACCCGTTAGTAGAATTTTCGGACTTCATTCTGACTACTCGACATCTCGATTTGCTCACGCTCACGTTTTTCTTATTCTTTCTTCTTTTTTGCTGAAAATACGTTTCCCCTCTCTCCTTTTCTCCCAAATAGTTCTCCATCGCATTAAGTGTTGCTACTGTCCGCAGGGTTGCCCTATATGCTGCGTTTTTCATATCAGTAGCATTGCGACACTCCTGATCGTACCACGGATTTCTTGATGGTGGTTTTAGGTACCCAAGTGTTGCTTTTGCTGCAGTTTGCAGGGAGTGGGCAATTATCTGCCACTGTGCTTCTATATTATTATCGGGACTAGGGGTGTTGTCGTCAAGCAGTTGGGTAAGTTGAGCGGAGTAGGCTTCGGCTATCTGTTGTGTTTGCAGCTTTTCGACGTCAAATGTCCGTGTTAATTAAAAAAATATTCTTAAAAAATCTATGCCTTGTATTAGGCCTTGAGAAAATATTTTTAAAAAATCCGTGAGCAAATATTCTTAAAAAATCTACACCTTGGGCCTTGAAAAAATATTTTTTTTAATATTTCAATCCCTTCTTCATATCATATTTTTATAACTTTTTTGCATTTTTATGTCTCAATATTTTATGTCTTATTCGACACGAAACAAAGTGTTTATTGTTTGTTTTTTTTTTGCCCCAATATCAAAACAATGCCATAAAATATAAATTTTATTTCGAAGCTATCTTCGGAACTCATTTCATTTTGGAGGCAATTTTCCAAAAACGTGCCTACGTCAAAATCCTTTATCTATAAAATATCAAAAAAAAAAAAAAAAAAGAAAGAAGACAATTTTTGATCAATTTTTTTTACTTCGCTGGCATTATGAATGCGTATGACAATTTGGCGCATTTTTATGATGCGGGGCCATAAAAAATTGTTTTTGCGATGAAACCTGCAAACGCCAGCGCCTACAAATAGGCAACAAGGCATATTATGACAACAGACAAAGACATTTAGCCCGATGGTTATGATAGCACCAGCTATAAATAGCAGAACGGCTGGCAGAGACAGACAACAGAAGCTATTGAATATAACATCTACCCCACCGAACAAAAAAGAGGACTAAAAAGAAAAACGACAATGACGATGTAGCGACCCATCCCGTCCAACCCTGTGTCACCCCATCCCCCACCAACTATAACTGTAATGTTTGGGTTAAAATCCATTGATGCAAAACGCCATCATAAAACCAGGGCCCCATTATGGGGTAATGCATATGTCAATGGTAATTTCAAAAACAGAATTATATCCTGAAGCCGTTTATTGTTGGTCGCTGGGGAAACAAATGGACGACGACCACCAAGGGAAATGAAAAAAGGGGTTATATCACCATTGGCATTATTGTGGCAATCACAAAACCACATTTCAAAAACACATTACAGTGGCTATACATAAATACTTATGAATATATATAAAACATACATATGGTTGTATTGCTGGAGGGCTGGAGATATTGGGGCGGGACGAAAAAATTGAAGATTTAGATATACCTCCCATATACATATATTTTCGTCCGATTTATGGTAAATGGTCCCCTAATACCATTCGATTTGCACGAAATTTGGTACAGCGTAATGAATTATGTCTAAAATGACGTGTGTCATGTTTTGAGGAAATCGGGTCAGATTTAGATATAGCTCCCATATATATTTTCGTCCGATCTTAGGTAAATACTGCACCAAAGTCCTTATATATATTACGATTTGCACGAAATTTGGCGTAGTCTATTGAATTGAGTCTAGAATGATGTATGTTGAGTTTCGTGAAAATCGGTTCAGATTTAAATATAGCTCCCATATATATTCTCGTCCGATTGTATGTAAATGGTGCACCAAAGCCCCTATACATCTTTCGATTTGCATGAAATTTTGCATAGGGTACTGAATTAAGTCTAGAATTATGTGTGCCAAATTTCGTGAAAATCGGGTCAGATTTAGATGTTGCTCCCATATATATATTTTCGTCCGATTAAGGGTAAATGGGGCACCAAAGTCCCTATATATATTTCGATTTGCACGAAATTTGGCATAGAGTACTGAATAAGGTCCAGAATGATGTGTGCTAAGTTTCGTGAAAATCGGTTCAGATTTAGATATAGCTCCCATATATATTTTCGTCCGATTTAAGGTAGATGATGTACCAACGTCCCTTAAATTCTTTCGATTTGCACGAAATTTAGCATAGTGTATTGAATTAAGTTAGAATGATGTGTGCTAAGTTTCGTGAAAATCGGTTCAGATTTAGATATAGCGCCCATATATATTTTCGTCCGATTTAAGGTATATGGTGTACCAAAGTCCCTATATATCTTTCGATTTGCACGAAATTTGGCATAGGGTACTGAATTAAGTCCTGAATTATGTGTGCAAAGTTTCGTGAAAATCGGTTAAGATATATATATAGCTCCCATATATGCTTTCGTTCGATTTAATGTAGATGGCGTACCAAAGTCCCTTAAAATCTTTCGATTTGCACGAAATTTAGCCTAGTGTACCGGATTGAGTCTAGAAGACGTGTGTCAAGTTTCGTGAAAATCGGTTCAGATTTAGATATAGCTCCCATATATATTTTCGTCCGATTTTAGGTAAATACTGCACCAAAGTTCCTATATATCCTTCGATGTGCTCGAAATTTGGCATAGCGTACTGAACTAAGTCTAGAATGATGAGTAGTGAGTTTCGGGAAAATCGGTTCAGATTTCGATATAGCTTCCATATGTATTTTCGTCCAATTTTATAAATGTAAATCGTTTACTATAAATTTGTCCCATGGTACGCAGACGATACTAAAGCTGACCGAATAAAATTACCTTTATCATAGGCTGCAGAAAGACAGAGGAATATGGTCCTTCGACGGAACATTGCATCGATTTTTTGATAACATTTTTTCAAGGCCTAATAGAGGGCATTGTTTTTTGAGAAAATAATAATTAATTAAATTATAATTTAATTTAAAAATATTTTTCTAAGACCTACCAGTAAGCGTAGAATTTTTAAATATTTTTTTCTATCCGTTCCACCCCATTATACTATCACGATAATATTATCTATGTTCATTTTCCATGATATGTGCAAAACAAGCCCTTATTTAACGGATACATGCCAAGTTTTTTTTCTGATGTGTTGTCTCCGTTACTATCTAGACGGAAAATGTGTGTCTACGCAGCCAAAAACCCCCACCATAGCAACAAAAGAGGGGAGAAAACAAGAGAAAAAAACGAACAACGAGGACAAGAAATTGCCTAGTACGATATGATGAGAAGGGTTAATGGCCGATGAAAATGATGGAAATTGTACATTTAAATTGTCATAATATCATTCAAATGATAGGCTTATGTGTTTAGTGGGGGGAGAAGGATGCTACCCTGACACTCTTCTCCATTTTCCCCCCTTTTGGCAGAAAAAGTTTTCTTGTAATTTTTTTTTGTCTTCAATACGACAAATTGTTCTCGACACAACATTTGGCATGGTGTGCGAACGTGTATGGCACGGATGTGGATTATGAATGGCGGTTACATAGAACGCAAGCACGTCGTCTCAGCATATCTTTGTCACAATTTGTCGTCGTCGTATCTGTTTATCTGTCGAATGACATATCATGTCTGGGTAACATTTGGTAAGACGCGTTTTATTCATTTTTTTTTGCATTTCTACGCAAATATTTGTGGAAATCTTATCTAAGATGTCATGTAAAATAAACATTAGTTCTTATTACGTCTATATTTTTTGGGGGAGATTATATTTCATTACTGAGAAGCGGATTTTTGGTTCTTCGCGAAGAAAATTCCAAATTCATACTTCGAAATATTCAGAAAAACGGAATAATCAAAATTAAATTCCTCACTTTTTTCCTTTATCTCATACTACTTAAAAGTAAGTCCACGAAGTCAGTATAAATCCTACTGAGTCATTTAAAAAATACAATCCAAAAATTTAATATAGATTCACTTACCCATACACACTCCCAGCGCATTGGCTGTGGGCAATTTCGCTACACATTTTAACGGTGGTTCACAGCGTCCTGAAAAATCTCCGGGACCGCCACATACCTCACCAACGGTTTTGGCGCAGATGGGACAGCAGCTAAAATAGAACAAACAAAAATCAGTTATAAAAATATTGTATGACAATGGAGCTTCATCATGGAGAATTTGTCAACCCTATCGCAATAATCGGAAAATATGTATTGTTCTATCGGACCATTGATTCAATGTCATTTACCCTTCAGCGCATCTATACAAATTCAATGAAACCTTCGGATGAGTTATGCAGTCAATGACCTTTCAGTCCTGGAACCCTCGCAAAACAGCCTCAGTGGTTTCTCAGATTATCTACATAGACATTTTGAAGCCTCAGCATACCAGTAAGGACACCTTACCCTCTTAGATCATCTGTACACACCTAGACACATGCGAGCATAAACGCGAACCTTTTTTCCATACAGAATATATGGAAAAACGGACCTTTCAGCTGATCACTGAGGACAACCTGACCCTTGAAAACCTCTACAAGAAATGCTGAAACTTCCGATGTTCTACATGGTGTCACTGACCTTTCAGCTGATCTTTTCAGACACCATGACCCTTGAAAACTTCTAGACATGTCTTAAAGCTTCTTTGTACATTCTGAATTGATCATGGCATCATCTGTACAGACAGGTTGAACCTGTACCTTGTTCGCGAAGATTCACAGGAACCTTATGTTTATCTATACCGACACCCAAGCACTCAATGTTCATTTCCACAGTCAAGCTGATTCCGAATTCCTCAGTACAAATACTCAGGATGCCTGAATTCATCTGTAGAGATACATCGAGCTCTACGTTGAACTGCAGAACGACACTGATCCGCCAGTTCATCTCGATAGAAGTGCTGATTCCTCAGCTATTATCTACTGAAACGCTTATTGCACAAATTATCCAACTGAGCTTCCAAGTATTCTGTACATACCTCTCATATCGTTTATAGGGAAACGCAGTCCAGTCAGTTAATCTGAGGAGATGCGTTGCTGATTCAGTTTATCTCTACAGAAACGCTGACCCCACAACTCATATCTAAAGACACGCTGATGCCTCAACCCTTCCGTACATATACGCTGAACCCACAGTTCATCACACTGACTCATCAAATCTTCTGTACAAATTCGCTGAACCCTCATCGCATTTTTACAGACGCGCTGAGTCTTCGGTTAACACGCTGACCACTCAAATCTTTTGTACAGCCTCGCCTGATCCCTTAGATCTTCACGCTGATCCCTCAGATCCTTTGTACAGCCTGTCTGATTCATTATCTTTTCTGTAGAACCACAACGACACGCTGATCCCTCTGCTTATATGAACAGGCATACTGACTTCTCAGATTATTACGCCGACGCCTCAAATATGAACGCTGATCACTAAACTCGTCTGTATAGCTTCGCTGATCCTCAGCTCCTTACGCGGCCTCAAAGACTTCTGTATTATCAACCTGCCCCCTCAGCTAACCTGTAAAAGCACGCTGAAGCCTCATCTCATTACGCTGACCTTTGAAATCTTCTGTATAGAAGCGCCGAAGCCTTAGCTCCTTTGTGCATCTTTGCCGATTCCTTAGCTTTCTGTACAAACTTTAGATAATCTCTAAAGCCCCCTTGATCCCTTATCTACTCACGCTGACCCCTTAAGTCTTCTGTACAAACAACCTGACACCTTAGCTGACCCCTCAACACAAATGTAATGACACCCTGATCCCACAGATCTTTACGCTCAAGCTTCTTCTGTATAAACGTTGGCCGCTCAGCTCCTTTGTACAGCCTCGCTGATTCCTTAGCTTTTCTGTAGAAACTCGCTGATCCCTCAAATTTTTTATATAGCCTCGCTGATCCCTCAGCTCCTCACATTGATCTCTCAAGACTTCAGTTAAGACACGCTGACCTCTCAGTCCATCCGTACATACTCATCTCTGCAGCCTCGATCATCTATACAGACACGCTGATGCCACAGCTGATCACTCTTACCCCTCAAGCATTTTTCAAGACATGCTAAGGCCTTCGATTATATGAACACTGACTTCTCAGATCATTACACTGACCCCTCAAATGGGAGCGCTGATCCCTAAATTCTTCTGTACAGCTTCGCTGATCCCTCAGCTCGCGTCCCCAAAGTCTTCTGTATAAACATCCTGACCTCTCAGCTAACCTTTATAAACACGCTGAAACATCATCACATTACGCTGACCTCTAAAATCTTATGTATAGGACCGCTAACCCCTCAAGTCCCGTTGATCCCTCAGATACTCACGCTGATCCCTCCAGTTCAGACAGGCTGGCCAAGACTTCTGCACAGACACCCAGTTCATCTGTGAAGGCACACAGACCCCACATCTTATTATGTTGACCTCTAAATGCTTTTGTATAGAAACGATGACCCCACATTTCACATCTACAGTTACGTCGATTTCTGAGCTGACCCTCAGGACTTCTGTATCGTCGCGCTGACCAGTCATATCTACTCAAGTTCTTTGTACAATAATGCTGACTTCGGAACTCATATGTGGAAACACTCCTGTACCTTAGACCCTATGTCCCTTCAGCTCACCTGAACAGTCCCGCTAGAAAAAGTTTCATTCATTTTTATTTATAAGTTTTTGTTTTTACTTACTTGCATGGATCCAAAACGATGAGACCCTTGCCGGGACAATCTAACGAACTGATGACATCACATTCCTTGGGATTGCAATAGCATTTCAAACCGTTGACCACCCGGCTACCGGCTGCCACCACCACCAGCAGATAACAGCACAAATATATTAGGTAGGTGCGCAGATTTAAAAAACAAAATTCTGTTTTTGAGCTCATTGTGGTGTTCTGTGTTTTTCTTTTTATCAGGAGGAGCGGGGTTTTGAGCACTCGTAATGTTTTTTACGTTTGTTTGTATGTGTGTGTTTGTAAGGGTATCTGCAGAATTCGATGCACTGCAGTTATTGAGCTTTATGACACCATAGAGTAGGACAAACTCCAAATGAAATGGAAGTTAAAAATGTGTTTTCCCCCTCAAAGTGAAATTGGTGGGGATAGTAAGAGGGGAAGAGATGGAGAGGAGAACCAAAAAGAAATGCAGGACAAAACTCAACCAAAAAAGTGAAATAAAAACAGAACAAGGATCGACTGTTTGCAATTGTCTGTTGTTATAAAGTTTTATCTTAAGCAAAATTTATGTCTTTGTAGCAACAATTGAAGCAACTGTGGCTGCTGCAGGTGCATCTCCTTGCAAATGGCAGAATGCATTTTCCTGGTCCTGGTTGGCCAAGGTGGGTTTACGTGTGGTGGTGTGCCGATACTTATGTGCGTCGTATCACTTCGTTTATTGCTGCTGGCATTTCAAATGTAAGTTTTGGGTTTGTGTGTTTTATTTTAATTTCCTTTCTCCCTTTGTTCTGTTGGCAAGGACGACGACGTTGGTGGCGGTAATGGTGCTGCTGAAAAAGATATCAAAAAAGAGATGAGAAAGGGAAGCCATAAAAAATAGTTAGTAAAGTAAAAAAAGAGAAACTTATTGTTTTTGTTATGTTGTTTAAGCTGCAAACAGATTTTTATGGCAAAACTTTTTCGGCCAAGAATACAATAAAAAATAACAACTCGAAGGAGAGAGAAAAAAAACGAACGAATGAACGAGCGACCGAACTATTCAAAAGAAGTCATCTCTGTTGGGAAGTGTTTTTTTGCCATATCCCAATTTCTTTTCTTCCATTCGCCTCTGCCATCCATCGTGCGGATTCCAACTGAGTTTAAGACTTTTATGATATGGTTAGTCTTACTGCAATGCAGTGAGATTTTCCATTCAACTTTGAATAATAAATAACTTTAAGACGAAAATTGTAAGAAATGCAGAAGTTGGTTTTTATTTCATTTGCAGGCAGGATCACATATTACGACTATTATGGAGATTTAATAGTTTTTAACAAAAAAACAGAACTACAAGCTACTATAATTCATTTGGAGAACATTTATTAAAGGCTTGGGTTGTAATAGGGAGGATAGGACTGAGTGTCAAAGAGTCCGTATATCCCAGAGCCTAGATATACGAGTTGAATGGGCCAGGTATTGGTATAGGTCTTATGAGGAGCCATGGAGTCTAAAGGGATGAACTAAAGGTCCTGCTGACCTGTGAGAGTAAGCTGAGGGGTCATCGAGTTTATACAGATATTTTGATTTGAGTCCGTAAAAATGTCCCGTGAGACTACAAATACCCATCATGCTAATACATTTGAGCTGATGGGCTAGCGAGACCTGCATAAATGAACATAGAAGTCAATGAGTATTTTCCGAGTAGCTAAGGGGTAAGCGTGAACGTTGAAATACACAGCGAGATTCTAGGGTAGAGCTAAGGGGTCAGCGTATCTATACAGGGAAGTTGGATGCGTGCCTATCCAAGTGTCTGTGCATCTGAGTCCGATGTCTCAGTGTGTCCATACAAATGTTCCAATCGTGTCTGTAGTGAGCTAATGTGTCAGCGTATTTGTTCAAAGTGCTGTGAGATTACAAAAATACCCAAAATGCTTGAGCTGTAGGTCCAGCGATACCTTTATAAATGAACATAGAGGTCCGTGAGTATTTTTAGAGGAGCTAAGGGGTAAGCGTGATAGCACAAATGGCCAGTGAGATTCTAGAGTAGAGCTAAGGGGTCAGCGTGTCTGTACAGAGGAATTGAATGCATTGAGTTTCTTTACAGATGACTAGAAGGCCTCAGAGAATAAATGAGCTACATGGACAGCATGTCTGTCCAGCTGATCTCAGTTTAAGCAAAAAAGGGCTGAAGGTCTACTGAGACCGTACAATTGCCCAGCCAGATTCTACTGGCGAGCTAAGAAGCCAGCGTATCTGAAAAGATGAGATGTGAGTTTGTAGTTTCTCTACAGTTGATCTGCAGGTAACAGTATGTCACTACAAAGGAGCTACATGATCACCGTGCCTGTCCAGATTATCTAAAGGATCAGTGTGTCTGTACAGCTGAGCCTGAGGGGTCATTGTATCGTTACAAATGAGGTGTGGATCCAGTGGCCATGTACTATGAGTCAGCGTGTCTGTACAGACGAGATGAAGGATCTGAGGGATCAGCATGTCTGTACAGAGGAGCTGATCGGCCAGGGTGTATGTACCAATGGCTTCATGGGTCAGAGTGGTGAGCTGAGGCCTCACTATGTCTGTACAGGTAAGCTGATGCGTCAGATTGTCTCTACAGAAGACTGAGAGGGGGCAGCGTGAGAATCTGAGGGATCAGCGGGTCTATAGATAAGAGCCGAGTGGTCAACGTGTTAGCTGATGCGTCAGGTTATCTCTACAGAAGACTTGAGGGGTCAGCGTGAGGATCTGAGGAATCAGCGGGTCTATACATATGAGTTGAGTGGTCAGCGTGCCCGTACTGACGAATTAAAGCCCCAGCGTTATCCAAAGGGATAAGGGTATCATTACATATTAGTTGAAGGGTCAACGAGGCTTTACAGAAGAAGTGAGGGGTTCAGCGCTCCTATACAGATGATGTATGGGATCTGAGTAATGAGCTGTGGAGGCAGTGTGTCTGTACAGGTGGGCTGAGGGTCAGCGTGATTGTACAAAAGATTTTACGAGTAAGAGTAGCGAGCTGAGGCCTCAGCGTGTCTTTGCAGGTTTCTGGTTGTCTCTACAGAAGACCTGAAGGGTTAGCGTGAGGATCTGAGGGATCAGCGTGTCACTACAGATGAGCTGAGAGGTCAGCGAGGCTTTGTAGAATAGCTGAGGTGTCAGCAATTCTATACAGCAGATTTAAGGAGTCACCTGTAAAGATAATCTGAGGGATCAGCGTGTATGTACGAAAAACTTAAGGGGTCAGGGTGGTGAGCTGAGGCCTAAGCCTGTTTGTACATATTAGCTGATGCATCAGATTGTCTCTACAGAAGACTTCAAAGGTCAGCGTGAGGATCTGAGGAATCAGCGTGTCATTACAGATGAGTTGAGGGATCAACGTGACTGTACAGTTAAGCAAAGGGGTTAACGAGGCTGTCATATAAATTGAGGTGTCAATGTGATGGGCTGTGGGATATGTGGGTCTTTACAGAGTAGTTGAGGGGTTCAGGGTTTCTTTACAAAAGACTTGAGGAGTCAAAGTAATGACGTCTCCCTATATATGAGCTGTTGGGTCAGCCTCTCTCTAAAGATGAGCTGAGGGGTCATCGTGTCTGTACAAAGGAACCGAGAGGTCTGCGTGGGGTCGGCGTTTCTGTAGAGATAAGAGGTCAAGACCGATCAGCTGAGGGCCCAGCGTTTCTATACAGATGAGTTGCAGAGATAAAGTGTCTGTACAGCTGAGTGGTCATCCTATACTGGTCTATACTGATGAACGGAGGGTCTTAGAGTATCTGTAAAGATATCCGTAGCCTAGTGTTTTTGTAAATGGGAGATGTGGTGTCTGTGTGTCCGTTAAATGTGTCTAGCCTATCTACACAGATTAGTCGACAGCTGGCCGAATTAGGGGATCCATGTAAACGTACAGTTAAGCTGAGGAGCCAGAGTTTCGTTACAGATGAGCTGAGAGGTCAATTGACGATAGTTCTATGACATTCCAGCTCTCTATTGATAGTTTAGCATATCTGTAGCACTTACTGGTACATAGCATATCTGTAGCACTTACTGGTACGTGAGGACTATACTACATTTAGCTGAGGGTCCCATAAATGGCTTTAGAGAAGTGAAATGTCCTAGAATTACCATAAATCATCGGAAGAAGAGGTTCCAGCGAGACTTTACATATGAGGTGTGGACCCAGTGAACTATTCGACAAAGCTGAAATATCTCCATGTCCTATTAAATCAGCGTAGGAGTAGTAGAACCCTTATGGAGATAAAGGAGGGCAAGAATGACGGTCTGCAAAGCAGTATTGAGTGAAAAATTCTTCATAGAGCAGCTGGAAGTATGTGGGTAGACTAGAATAGAAAACAAAGCCCATAGGGATTTTTTATTACTGTAGATTTTATGGATTGCAGATTTTGTGTCTATTATATCATCAGAGTTTTCGTCAATTCCTGCAGCAGCGTGAGGCGTATACGTATTGACAATAATCATACGCTCTAGAATACTATGACATTGTTTATTTAATTGTCTGATAAGTTCCGTCCTTACCCTGTCCTGTTAACTTTTTGTATTTCTTTCATATATTTTCCATCTCTTATCTTATTGTTTCGTTTTTTTTTTTGCTCAACAAAGAGAGAAATGAAAACGAAAGCAAAAATGAAATAATATTAATTTAGTTTTACAACAGTGCGACGTGCAAACAAACCTCCACTGACCATTCCCTCTCTTTCTTGTCTTCAGTGGACACAATAAAAAAGCTCTTTACGGTCAGCTTATTCGTGTAAGTAAAGAAATGAAATGAATAAAAAAATCCTTCCTCGCACTTTCCCTTTTGGGGAATTTTCTCACGTTCGAACAACTAACAAATTAACGTGATTAACACTTAAATTCATGGCAGTCGGTATGGAAAAATACCAGCAATTGAAGAAAAAAAATTCCCGCAGCAGAAAATGTGTGTGGCAAGCATCGAGCTTCTCACAAGCTCACGTCCAAGATATGCCAATGGCCAATGGAAACAATACAAAAGAAAATTGTGTGTGTGTGTATTTTCTTTTATTTTATTTTTATTTCTTTATTCTACTTCCTCTCTATATATCCTGTTTTGTGGTTCTTAATAATAGAAAAAGAAATACCCAAACCGAATACCAGCAAAGCATAAAAATTCTTCACGAGGAAAATAAGAAATAAAATCTATAAAAAGAAGAAAATTAAAACACACAAAGAAGGAATAGAGTAACCCAAACTATTCTCTC